CCAGAGACCTGCCGCACTCACTCGTCCTGGGTCTCAGATATGACGTCCAAAGCCACGTCATCTACGAAAATACTCACGCCGCAATCCTGACACTGCGGCAAGACGTCCAGGACTCCGGGGATAATCAAGAATTTCGCCTCATCGGCGGCTGCCGAACTGCCCGCCACCTGCCCCCTGCCCGAAAAAATACACTCAGACGCTGCGCCAACTAAAACCAAGAAACCCACGCCAGATTCTCTCGTGCAAAGCCGCCCTGAAGGCAGAGGCAGGGCACCCCATCGGGACCGCCTCCCGCCGCGGGGCCTCGCGGTCGACATGCTCACTGCACTGTTCGAGGCCCCCCAGCACAGCGACGGCCGCCGAGCCACGGTGGTCAACCAATCAGGCTCGCACTTGAAAGCGCCAAACTGAGTCGGTGGTGCGTTCGTTGGCAGGGGGCATGCAAACGTAGCGATCGCCGCCTCGGCGCCTCTCCCAGGCTGCCGCGCGCCGACTCAAGACCCTGCTGCACAGCCTCAGGAAAATTTGGAAGAAGCCGATCGGTCGCTGGCCCCCTTCCAGCCCGGCGACAAGTTGCACCCCGGGCAGCATCGAAACCCAAAGTAATTCACCCAAAACAAGCATAATCGCACACGGCAAATTTATGTCTGCCAAGTCCTGGTCCGAGAGCCGGGAAAAATGGCGAGGGCGGGCCCCTTCAGCCGCAACGGCGCGCAGATTGGACTTCCGCGGTGGCCCCCTCAGTGCGGGAGCGCCTGGAGCCAGGGGGCGCGAGCTCCTTCCCCGGCGGTTGACAAGCAAAGCGCGGCGCCTCGCGGGCGCCCCACGCCCTTTGCCACACAGCAACTTGATGGGCAAGTCGCGCTTGCACCGACACCGCGGGGCCCGGGGGGGCGTCGATCATTGCGAACGCGAGGCCCGCGGCGAGTTTGGCACACGCATGAGCCACTTCGGCCCCGCCCTGCAAGGCTGCGCCGCACCGCCATCACCCAAGACGCCCTCTGAAATGCTCGGCCCCGAGGAAGCTATTCCAGACGAAGCCGACCCGCACGGTCCGCCCACTCGCAAAGCCCCGCAAATGTCCCAAATCCACAAAACACCAGGGCGCTGCTCGAGGCAACTGGCCAACAATGATACACGCGCGCGCCATTGCCCCCCCCCACACACACACACGGACTCGGAACGGGCCGCCCTTCGAGGCGAGAGCAATCGAGCGGCCAAGAAGCTCCGAAAAAATGAACCTCTCCATCGCATTGGCGGGTCTCCCTCAGCCCTGGCGCCGACAGACTGACTCAGCGAGCGCGGCCCGCGTCGAGCTGAGTCTGAAGAACGCCATGTTCAGCACTGCTAGCAGGAGACAACAGAGAACTCTCCCACTGGGCTGCGCGAAAAGGCACCAGAACTGTTTTGACATCCCCAGACACCTCGGAATAAGAAGGGGGGCACGGGGGGCGGGCCGACCCATCAAGAATTCCCCGAAAACAATGAGTTTCCTGACCCCAGCCTGCGGGGCGCCCAGGAAGATGTCGAGGATGACGGGGCGATGTGGCGACAATCCCGAGCCCAGGATAACCCGACACTCGCACCGCAAAAAAACCTGCGCCGCCACAAAGTAGTCGAAGACCGCGCTTGTAGGCCCAACGACGCACGCAGGAGTAGCTTCATCGCGCTAAACTGACCCTTCGCACTACTGAGGACGAAGGCCTACATCGAGTAGAGACAGCGGCATGTTGAAATCGCCACCGAACACGACAAGCAAACCATGCGAGGCAACCCGCTCCCCCGTCCACTTCGCTTGCATGACGCTAGCTGAACGCACCCCTATCGAGCAAACGAAGTATGTGGACACTAGACTTACAGCCCCGTAATGCTTGCCCCTCAAGAAACATAAGGCCACCCTGGGCCCTGATTCAGCTGGGCCTTCCAGCCGATCCCCCCAAAAGTCCAGACACTTCCTGATCACCACAGCGACGCCCGCCGAACACCGATCAGTAGCATCCCTGACGGAACGAGGACACCAGAACGAAGCCCAGCCTGCCTTGAACAAGGAATACTTGGTATCCAGGGGTTCCTGGCCTGAGACCTTGGGCCCCTGAAGAACACCTACCTGACACTTAACACCGAGGCCTTGCAGAGCTTTTACAGATGACTAGAAGCACGATTCGTTAAGTGTGCAAAAGAGAAAACGGGGTGCTCCAACTGATTTGGAGTCCGCCTTTGACCTCATCCAGGACCTGCCGACAGGCGAGAGAGGTGGCATCACTCCCTGTCCCCATCCTTGCGCTACTCCGAACGGGGGGCGCCGCCTTCGAGGCCAGAGTCGCCAGGCGACCGAGAGCGCTGCGACCATGGAACCCCGAGGCCCAACACCATTCAGGCCGACGACGCCCAAATGCGCCCAGGCAGCCCCACTGCCGCTGGAGCGGGGGACGGCACAGCTGCGGGCGGCCCTCGGGGGGGATCCGGGGAGCAGCAACAAGGTCGACGGCAACAGTCTCAC